ATTACATTTGGGCAGCTGTGACAAAAATTATTTGAGTATCAGGTAATAAAATAATGTGTATTTTATACACAAATACTCTCTATCCCTGTGACACAATTCTCTTGACAAAAATATAAATTCGTACAAAACTATAATCAATCTCAGACATTAGACAGATTAATATAAATTTTAAAGATGAAAGGTAAGTCATCCTTTTTTAATCCCTTTTCTTCTCAGGAATGGCGGACCTTTTTCACCAGAGATCGGGAAATTCTGCGAAAATTCGCAGTCGTACAATTTCACTAGCACGTTTAACGAAATGTGGATCGAGTTCATGGCAATGGAGGAGCCGACAGATTTCGAGTTCACCCTGGAACCAGCTAATAACGGATGCGGGGGTGCTCTGCGTGGTGATAGTCGAGAGATCTCGTCGCCCAAGTAATTGAAATGACTCGTAATAACCGTTTGCAATGTTTAAACATGTGATTCGCTCATGGTCTTTGATATTTTTCACAGCTTCCCCTCGGCGTATCCCAACAACGCGGAATGCACTTGGGAAATAACCGCGGACAATGGCTACAGCATCGGCTTAGTGTTCGTTGATCGTTACCATTTGGAAAGCAGTACTAATTGCGAGAAGGATTACGTGCAGGTATGATGAGATCGCATGATAACGAGAGATATTCGTGATCAACTTTGTTTCGAGTAAAGATTTTGTCAAATGTTTTTTCAATTTCAAAATAACTTAATTCGAAGCAGTAGATATTTAACATATTAGAAAAGATGATGTTTGTTGTGATAACGAGAGAAATTTTAAATCAAAAGAATCGTCTTCGTTCGAATTAGATATTCAACTGGATCAAGGAAACAGAATCCTCCGTTGGAATATGGAAGGATCTCGGAAAGGTGTGCGGTAGACAAACGCCATTGGCATTTAATTCGACGAGCAATCGCATGAAAGTAGTTTTCCATTCGAACGAGGCGATCCAAGGTGACGGATTCCGCGCCGTATGGTTCGAGAATTGCGGTGGAATTTTCGACGTCACCACTCATCCAAAGGTGATCGTGTCACCTTCCTATCCGATTTCGTATCCGCCAAATCTCTTCTGCAATTACACTCTCGTGGCGCCAGGCAAAGACATTCTGGTCAAATTTATGGATTTCCAGATCGAGCGTAGTAAGAGGGAATTTGTTTTTCTAAGCGTGAATTGATCGAATGTTAATCGAATATTTTGTGATTAGGTCGTAGGGGTTGTCGTTACGACAACGTGACGATTAAATATCAAGATGGATACATAAACGAAGAAAGTATATGGTGTGGAGAAGATAAACCACCCTTAATAAGAGCATCAAACGCGGTAGAGATCATATTCAGAACCGATAATTATCTTGCAAGAAGTGGTTTTGAATTCAAATATTTCCTGCATGGTACTCGTCAAAACAATATTATTATAATAAGATTATACTTATGTATTTTGAATAAATGCTATTTATTTTCTTTTTTTCTTTCTTCTTCGTCTCGAAAGAATGCGGAGGATTGTTGACAACGCCAGGAGAGATTAAGCCTTTAATGAATGGCAACCAATACTTCGGAAGATTAGATTGTACGTGGAAAATTCAAGCGCCATCGGATAAGAGCGTCGTCCTTCGTTTCGAGAGTTTCGATATCGAGTTCAATTTGAAGTAAATGATTACACGATTACTCCAATTAAGAAGGAATAATAATAATTATTTGCAATTGCAACACTTGCCTATTTTGCAGTTGCATATTCGATAATCTTCAGATCTACAATGGATCGGAAACATTGGAGGAAAACAAACTAGCCATGTTATGTGGAAACCTTACGGAAAACTTGCCGGTCATCAAGTCGAATTCTAATTCCATGGTGCTTAAATTCCACACGGATGACAGCCGCCATTCCGTTGGATTTTCCATAAAAGTAAACTTTACGAAGCAACCCTTCCAATTTTCTCCATTTTTTCTGAATTTTAGAAATAAAAAAAATCGATATCCTCCGAAAATTTTAAATATTCCAGGTACAATTCGTGAAGAGCATCAGCGCGGGTTGCGGTGGCAATATTAATTTAACCTCGAGTCAATCGTTCAAGACTCAAACAGGTTCGACGTACGACAGCTTCGAGGATTGTCACTGGATTGTGTCAGCGACTGAGGGGAAGAACATCAAGTTCACGATAAATAGCATGGACGTTAGAAACAGTATCAATCGCACGGGCAACGGGTGCACCGGTGATTACATCGAGGTGAAATTTCATTCATCTTGTCCTGTCAGTTTTACTCGTTTCCTATTTCTATTTCTTTCCACGTTGTCCAGATTCGCGATGGAACCGGGCCTTTCAGCGAGCTCCTCGGAAGATACTGTGGAAACCAACCTCCACCTCCCATATCATCGAGTTCCAACTCACTTTTGATACGATTTTACAGCGATGGAACAGTGGAAGGAGCTGGAGTCAGTGGAACATTGGAAGCAGTAGATGGTGATATATAAATCTAATCGTTTATCATTTATTCTTAGATTTTTTTGCTTTTTTCTTTTTCTCGATTTATTTATCCGCAATAAGGATTGTCTTCATTTGCATTTCATCCAAAATGAATATTTAAAGTGATCAAAGTAAATTCATTTAAGTGAAATTAAGTAACACTTTGAATTTAATCATTGAACAAATATAAATATTTCACTTTTCTTCTTCTATCTTTCATATGAGAATAGAAAAAGTGTAAATTTGTCTTTAATGAGAGAATAGTGAATATTTAATTATTCGATTGTTTCAGCACTGTGCACTTATATTTCTCCGGTAATAAACGGCTCGGGAAACGTACTAACTTCACCGAATTATCCGAATAATTACGAGCCCGGCACAAAATGTCGTTGGACGATAAAGTTTGTGCACTACTTCGAAAGAATGAGAATAAAATTCTTGGACTTCGATTTAGCTGATTCTCGCGAATGCAAAGACGATTTCCTTCAGATCACAGATAAAGAGGTAATTTACATCGAAGAATTTGATTCGAGGATATTATTACAATTATATGAAACACGTGTTCACACAGAATCGAAAGTACATCGAGCAAGGACTCGGCCAGGAGTTAGTTTGGAGTGGAAATTCGGGCAAATCGTATTATTCGGTAACGAAACGTAGAATATCATTCGAGATTTACTATATCTTGCAATTTTAATATGAATAAATAATTTACAGAATGAATTCATGCCAAAAACCGCGTACAAATATTGCGGCAACAGTTTGCCTCACGATTACTACAGGTAAACAACGATCGTTTAATTTTTCCGTTAAAATTTTCGAAAAACTTCCTTCTTCTCTTCCTCGACAGTTACAGCACCGAACTCGACTTAACGTTCAACGGTGTTAAACCTGGGCACAAAGGTTTCAAGTTGGAGTACAGCAAGGCGACCTGCGATCGGAATTTCACCGAGTTGCAAGGTCGAATCGTGCACGAGGGTATCGACGATTGTTGGATCACGATCACTGCCCCCGAGAATCACACCATCTCTCTATACTTCAATCAATTCATGCTCTACGATCAAACCGATTGTACGAAAGCTGGCCTAAATGCAAGTATCACTGTAATTTCTAATTTCGCGTAAGAATGCGAATTCGTGTGAAAACTTTTGCTTTCATTCGTTCACTAGGTGTTCGACGGTGATTTCCATGGTAAACTGATGGCGTCATTGTGCTCCATAGATACGCCAAGTCCTATTTTCAGTACCGGAAATAAACTGAGTTTACGTTCTTGGTCCGAGTGGCATTCTAGCTACGAATACTATGATATCACGTACACCACCACGAACGCAGGTAAGAACGTAGATGAATGTATATCTATATTGGTCATTCTATGTAAGTATTGTTATTTTAAGAACTTGAACGAAAAAGATAAATGTTTATGCTTATGCTTTTAACCTTATGATATATATTTCTTCGCATTTGTTTTCCAATTCTCTTTCGAAAAATATTCTATTTTCCAATCGAAAATATCGCTTTAACTTTTAATTTGAATGATTTCTATTTTCAAGAAAAATTTGAAACGTTGAAACATTTTGTAATAAAAAAGAAATATATATGCGATAATTTCGATGTCGAGTAATATGTTCGATTATAATAATTATTTTGCAATTTCTCAACTACGGCATTTGAGATAACCTAATGTGTGTATAATGATTAACGTCGCGATGTTTGAGAATCGTTGGAGAACAGATAAAGATTTCGTATATGTAGATCATGTGCATGTGAAGAATAAATACGAACGAATGAAAATAATAAAGAGCGAAGTGGGAAAAATCTGCATTGGAATAACTGTACAATGAGTTTGAAATTCCTTGAAATTGTTGATAAAATGTTTCGATAAAATGATCGTACACACAGGTCGTGGATGTGGCGGCAAAATATTTAATTACGCCGGATCTTTTACATCGCCCATGTACCCCAACGAATATAGGAATAACACGATCTGTACTTGGGATATTATCGTACCACGTGGACTGAAAGTCTTTCTAACATTCACAGTGTTAGATATTGGCTCGAAGAGCACCTGTAATTACGAATACAATATTGTTTCAATCTACGATGTAACGTCTGACGGAATAGAAGACTTTGCCACCAGTTATTGCGGAGGGGTAAGTCAATATTAGAATGCACGGTCGATCGCAATCGTTAAAAAAAAAAGCAAAATAAACGAGATAATGATTTTCCTTTTCTACTGGATTACTATTTGCTTCAGGATGACCCAGCACCGTTCATCGCCACCAGCAATCGTTTGATCGTGAAATACACTTCATCCGTGAACAATATCGGAACAGGATGGAAAGCGATTTTTGAGAGTCGAAATAATTAAGAATAAAAAGATTTCTATTTCTGAGTAAGATTCTAAGGACAATTTATAAAAATATTTATTAATATTTATGTATGTATATCTTGAAGATTAACAGTATATTTATATTAACCCGCGCTTCAAGCAAGTAAGTAAAATTAAGATTAATTAGACGATATATTGTCGAAAAATTCGTTATTTGTAAATAACATAACAAGTATGATTTGATATGCATAGAGATCAAATAAATGAAATTTTATATAATGCGTGAAATCGTTGGCTCATCATCATGGAAGACTCGAGAAATCGTATCGAGTTGCAATAGCAATACCAATCTCTTCAATATATCTTTGAATCATTAATTAAAATACGATGATTCATAATATTTTCTGATTATAAATTTTTCACGCTTCGTTGCACTTCTCATCCCCACAATCCTCTCGCATTTCTTCATCTTGGATCTCTTTCGTTATCGAACAACTTTTTTCAGCTACCGCGTCCACTTCTGAGATCTTCTCTTCAGGCATCACTATTTCCGTCTCCACCTCTTCTTCTTTTCTTTTCTTTGGCACCTCTCGTTTCTTCCTATTCTTCTCGTGATTACCTTTTTCGGACTTCCTCTTGCTCTTCCTCGATTTCGTTTTAGTCTCCTCTGTCTCTTCTACTTCCACCGGTTCCTTCTCCACTTCCTTCACCGTCACCTCTTTTTCCTTTTTCTGAAGCTTCTTCCTCTTGCCATCTTTCTTCGCCCTCTCAGATTTGTCCACATTTTTATCCTTCGACTTCTTCTCATTCTTCACATTGTTTCGTTCCTCGACCGTTTCTTCTTTCCCTTTCTCGTCTTTCAATTTCTTCGAATCCTTTTCGTGAACAGTCTGCGACGCCTCAGAATATTTGCTCTTCTTCTTAGACTTCCCCTTCGGGGATTCGTAGCTAGACTTGCTCTTAAAGTCGATATTTTCCTTCTCTTTCAATTTCTTGTTCCTCGATTTGTGAACCTTCTCCAACTCCTCGTTCGTTCCGACCAGATTCTCCGAATTTTCCACATTCTTCTCAGATGCGCTTTCCTTTTCATTCTTTTTCCTTGATTGCAACTTTTTCCTCTCTCCATCCTTCCACCTCTCTTCCCTGAAACATAGCGAATTGGTCGCGACATTCTGCCAGGAAAAATCGATACATTTTCAATGCCGGTCACCCGTGACGAAGATAAAACCGATCTCGAGAGGAAAACAATTGCGTAATTAGAGCCGTTACGTCGCGCTCAAACGACGATGCATTCGGCTATGCACTCTTTTAAAACTCACTTCGAATACTCTACATCCCTCTTCTTTTTCTCGTGCCTTTTTTTCGACTCCACCTCTTTACCCTCCTTGCCAGCCTTCCTCGCGAACACGTCGGATGCGAGAATCGTGACGATCAGTAAAACGGTTAACAATACCCAAATCCTGCGAAGAAACGATTCGCAAATAAAATCAATAACAACCTTTCAACGGTTCACCACTCAAGAAGTTTCAAAATCAAGATCAAAATATTTTGCTTACCGCATGTTTGCTCCGCGGTTGCGTCTAAATTGAAAATAAGATAAGTATCGATTCACTTAGGAGGATCGTTTCGTGTGACCATCGAAACCAAGATTCAGCACAACACTGACTGCCGTTTGCCCGATCCTCTTATATCTTATACGTGTTGATATCTCGATAAACAAGATTGGCTCTAAGCGCAGTGAATGGTCCCCGCGATATCTGATTCGATATCGCCGCGAAATCGATCGCCAATACGTGGACGAATGACACGATGATACTCGATTCGTAACGCGCAATGTTCGAAGTTTGAATATTCGAATCTTCTTCCTCGTTCGTCGAATGTAAAGCATTTTCTTCGCCGCGTTCGCGTTCTTGACCTAGAACAGGCCGTTCCTGAAATAGCTGTACCATTCATCTCCCACGCGTGGATCCCCCTTTCCTCGTTTTCTTTCTTTTCCTCTCTTTTTTTCTCTATCCCACGGTGTTCGCCGATATCGTGCACCACGACGAGACGAGTTATTTAGGTCGGTACACGTATCTAATCTTTCTGTATCGACGCACTGTGATGTCGATCGGCCACTCACAATTTGATCTTAAAGCGTGATAAATATATCGTTATACATAGAAGATAATTATGAGAAATAGCTCGATTTCATTCAACTTTTTTGTATTTACATTAATCGTTATCAAATTTTATACAGCTGGATCATAATGGGTCCAGTAATCAGTTTCTATATGTTCATCTTGCTTCTCGTCTGTTACTTTTGTCTGTTTGTTTTAATGGGATAAACAAATTTTGACAAGATTGATGTTAATCGCTGTTTCTTCAAAGTGCGATTGCGCGATTCTTACGCTTCGTTACGTTTATTACAACGTGGAGGGATATCTTTGGTGAATTTACAATGAACTCGAGCGTGGAAGAAGAAGATTGGTCTTTGTTAAAAGTTCTTGGAAAATGTCGTAAAGTTGGAGTAGTTGAATTTGTTGCGGATGTTACGTGGCATTTTAAATATAAATTGTAGAATTTTTTTTTTTCTATTGAATTGATATATATGATATTTAAATAATTCTTTAATTACATTGACGACTAAAAATCTTAGGATAAAATCCTAAAGTTATTTTATTATACAAAATGTCAAATTCTTTTCTCTGTTAAATAATTCATTATCTAAAAGTTGTAAAAATTATCGTGTTGCACTTTTTAATAAAAAAAAATTTCACGAATATTCTAATTTTACAATATATTTTGTAAAATATATATGTATATTATCGATATCGAATAAAATAGCACGAATGGTATTAGTTCATTAAATTCGTGTTTCCAAAGAAACAAAATTTCATATATATCAACATGATAGAACAAACAAATATATCTTTTTTTGATTTAATAATAAAAGATCATAGAAAAAATAAACGTACATAATATAAACGTTTAAATATAAACGTTAAAAAATCATGTATACATTTAATAGTTCATTTTATGATTCTTTCTGTGCATTTAATTCAATTCTAGTTATAAAAGATAAGCAAATATGAAATTTACGAGCTCATAAATCTTGCCAGTTGTCGTCGATCAATTATTTTAACAGTAAACGAGTTACCTAACACTTTATTTTCTGCAAAATGGCGATAAATACCTGAGACGAATATCATCGAGTGGATAAAGACGTGATATCATCTTTCTTTTTCTGTGCCCATTTATCACGTTCTCTAACTTGTTTGTATTGTCTTTATCATTTGATTGTTTTTAAAAAAAAAAAAAAAAAAAATATTATTCCTCGAATCCAATGACGTTAAAGTGTATTCATTATATTATCTAAGATTTATCTAAGGATCAACTTTTGATAATTCTGCATAATACAAACAATTGTTGGTATTAATGTAATTGACAATGTAATGTAAATATAAATGACAAAAAAAAATTGTGCACAATTGTGACACAATATAATTTTAAATAAAATTAAATAAAATGAATTAAATAAATGTGAAATTTTGTATCGATACACGTGTAAGGTGTAACAATCAATAATACTATACGTTTACTGAAATTATATATGTATCATATATTTTTTTCATTTACTTATATGCATATATTCGTATCAAGAACTCTGTGGCATAGATTTTGTAGTGGTTCGATTACAAAATAATATACGGTTTGCTTGAAAAATATTCGTGGCTTATAAATATTTTCAGAGAAAAGTATATTAATTCGATTTGAAATTAAACAATTCTGAAATTATAATTTTAGATCGCATCGATGGCACAGAAAAAAAATACGAAAATGCATATACATATAATTAAACACTGATTTAAAATAAAAGAAAAAATTATTATCTTTCTCTTTATGCGCCCAGAGATGTTCATTTTGTACATCATGCTATTTACGCAAAGGATTTTCATTTTCATTTTGAATTTTGCGCAATATACGTATATAATTTTTAGCATAACAACACCGTACATGCTATTAAGTATCCGTGTGTAACTTAAAATATATACTTATAAATAACAAACGAAGAAAAAACATGACTTATCGTTATTTAAACGACGCCAATATAAAAATAATTAAAATTACAATACTTGAAAAAACATTGTCTCTTAATATACCTTACACGAATGGAATTATGAAATGTGTTGAAAAAATGAACTCTAATTCTAATAGATGATCTACAAAAAAATTTTATGTTCATGTAACGTTTCTTTCTTTTTCTTTTTTTTTTTTTTTTTTTTTT